GCGGGGATGGGCCCCGCCCGCCGGCGGCTCCTCTCTCCGGAGTGACCGGAGCGAGCCCCGGAGCTCGGGGTGTTGTAAGTGCTGCGCGCCCCGCTGCCCCGGCTCGTGCCCTCGCGTGACACTGTCCTGGGACTGGGGGTCTGTGTGGAAGGAACCTGCGCTTCGCTCGCCGGAGCCAGTCAGCCCCTGACAGCCGCACGCTGATGTTCCTGTAGCGCTTGAGTGGGCTGGGGCGGGAGAGCCCTGTGGTCCCAGGCTATGGGAGAGACAAGGCGGGTCAGGCCACGTCTTTCCCCGCTCTCGCTTACCAGAGCTCTTGTTCAAGCAGAAGAGCTCTGGGCAGCTCCAAAGCCTGTCACTCTCGCCGACATACATTGGACCCGTAAAAGAAATTCCCTCACCCGCCTTGGCTCCCCGGGTTTTTTCAGTGACGTGAATCGATGTAATTAGATGAATCTATGTTACCAGGCGGGAAGGATTAGATTTGTATCAGTAAATGTCAGTAAGTGGCCATACACTGTGCTGGCACACCCAATCAAAACAAATTCGAGATGGATAGTTAGATAAAGTAAGACAAAATGCTCCTTATTAGACGTATTAGAATTTGTTTTAAGGATATTGACTTGGTATAATTTGATGTACTGTCTACAATTCGTGTTTTAACAGATACACAGTTTTAACTAGGGACTTTCTGGATACATACTTGGGTGGCTGGCCTGTGCCATAACATCTACACAACTATTGTTATCTATTTCAGAGGGGTAGCTGAGTTAGTCTGTAACTGGAAAAACTTAAAAAACAACATATAGTCTTGCAGCACCTTAAAGACTAACAAAACATGTAGAGGGTATCATGAGCTTTCATGGGCCAACCCATTTCTTCGGATGATTTATCTGTGTTAGCTAGGTGAAAACTAGTATAATCTGTGCTACAGTCAAATCTTCATTTCCGGTGTAGACATACCCATATCGGTAATTTGGTTAACACCTAGATTCTAACAGCCTTTTTCTTTTTAAACAAATAGCTATTTTTCCTTAAGAGATGTCTTTGCACATAGTTTATAACAAATTTATCTTCCTTTTCACATTTTAGCTATGTTTCTTTTTCATGCTTTTAGCTATGTTTCTTTATCATCTTGAGGGGTAGTGCTACTAACAACTCACTGTTTTAGTTCTTCTAGGCCCAACACCAAATCCTAGGGATTTATTGATAAGGGACCACGCTTTGCATGGTCATACAGATTTAGGACAAACATCTCCAATTATTTATGGAGTAAAGAAAGCACATTGGGGTTTTTTAAACACAGATTCTAACAAGACTTTTTAAAAAATAAGTTTTTACAAATAGCCTTTGCTTCTCTTAATGGTCTCTTTGCATATATTTTTCAACGTGTCTATGTTGTTAGCTTGTAGCTGATGAATTTCTTTATTGTTTCTAGGAGAGATGCTGCTTATCAGTCACTGGTTCATGGTTTCTTGTCCTGAGAGCAAATACCTGCATAGATGGACTGTCCATTTGGGGATGAGGGGATGGAAGGGATTAGGTCAGGTCCTAGAAGAGAAAGGGTTAAACCAGTGGTCCCCAACGCGGTGCCCGCGGGTGCCATGGCGCCCGCCAGGGCATTTGTGTGCGCCCGCTGACAACCTGGGCCGGCCCCGCCCGTGGCGCACGGGAGGCGCTGGCCCCAGAAATACCTGCATAGATGGACTGTCCATTTGGGGATGAGGGGATGGAAGGGATTAGGTCAGGTCCTAGAAGAGAAAGGGTTAAACCAGTGGTCCCCAACGCGGTGCCCGCGGGTGCCATGGCGCCCGCCAGGGCATTTGTGTGCGCCCGCTGACAACCTGGGCCGGCCCCGCCCGTGGCGCACGGGAGGCGCTGGCCCCAG